AATTGTAAAAAAAATAAATTAAAAAAAATTGCGTTACATACTGTTTAAAACAATACATTTGTTCGGGTCTCAGGTCTGCCACTGTTATCAGCTATGGAGTTTGAAACCTTTACATGTAAATTAAAGTCCTAAATATTGTAAAAACGTGATGTATCAGTGCCACTAAAATAGCATGTTTGGGGAAGCCAGATAATGTGTACTAGCATTGAGTGCTGCAGAATGTAGTGAATCGGGGTAATAACAGAGCTAGAATGTTTCAACTCAAAGGAAACAACAAAGTTGAAAAAAAAAAAAAAAAAAGCAACCCACCACCCAAAACATCAAGCCTATATGGAGCCACAGAAGCCACAATATTTTGCCAATTTCCTTCCCCTCACACAGGCGGCTGGTATTTGAATAAGCCTACTAGGTGTGTTAGCAGTGGGTGGAGTTATGTTTCTATCAATTTGCCCATTTTGCCCGCCAGTGTACCCACCTATATTAACACTGCATTTCTATCACCTTTCAGTTGTCCTATGTTCACTACTGCACACTATCTGACCACATTCTCTGCCCCCAATATCCCATGAAGGGAAATGTCTGTCCACTGCTACTTTGCCAGTGACCAGTTCACAAGTATATACCCCCTTATACCACCCTTTACCCACTATCCATTTATACTACCATTACCGCCAAGCTGACAAGTGCCCACTCATGGTTCAGACACCCACTCTCCTCTACTAACCTGTCCCTCAGCCCATAGTGGTTCTTTAACCTGCCTCCTGGCCCCCCACGGTGGCTGTCTAACCTGCCTCCTGGCCCCCCATGGTGGCTGTCTAACCTGCCTCCTTGCCCCCCCCATGGTGGCTGTCTAACCTGCCTCCTGGCCCCCAACGGTGGCTGTCTAACCTGCCTCCCTGCCCCCCACGGTGGCTGTCTAACCTGCCTCCTTGCCCCCCATGGTGGCTGTCTAACCTGCCTCCTTGCCCCCCACGGTGGCTGTCTAACCTGCCTCCCTGCCCCCCATGGTGGCTGTCTAACCTGCCTCCTGGCCCCCCCATGGTGGCTGTCTAACCTGCCTCCTGGCCCCCCATGGTGGCTGTCTAACCTGCCTCCTTGCCCCCCATGGTGGCTGTCTAACCTTCCTCCTGGCCCCCCATGGTGGCTGTCTAACCTGCCTCCTGGCCCCCCATGGTGGCTGTCTAACCTGCCTCCCGGCCCCCCATGGTGGCTGTCTAACCTGCCTCCTGGCCCCCCATGGTGGCTGTCTAACCTGCCTCCTGGCCCCCCATGGTGGCTGTCTAACCTGCCTCCTTGCCCCCCCATGGTGGCTGTCTAACCTGCCTCCTGGCCCCCCATGGTGGCTGTCTAACCTGCCTCCTGGCCCCCCATGGTGGCTGTCTAACCTGCCTCCTGGCCCCCCATGGTGGCTGTCTAACCTGCCTCCTTGCCCCCCATGGTGGCTGTCTAACCTGCCTCCTGGCCCCCCATGGTGGCTGTCTAACCTGCCTCCTGGCCCCCCATGGTGGCTGTCTAACCTGCCTCCTTGCCCCCCATGGTGGCTGTCTAACCTGCCTCCTGGCCCCCCATGGTGGCTGTCTAACCTGCCTCCTTGCCCCCCATGGTGGCTGTCTAACCTGCCTCCTGGCCCCCCATGGTGGCTGTCTAACCTGCCTCCTGGCCCCCCATGGTGGCTGTCTAACCTGCCTCCTGGCCCCCCATGGTGGCTGTCTAACCTGCCTCCGAGCCTGGGTGAGGCCCAGTAGCCGCTGTTGCAGCTCCGTCCTGTAGTTCCTGGCGGCCTCCATGCTCTCCTTTGCCTCAGTGAGAAGCGCCTCCAAGTCCGCCGACTCCATCCCCGAGCTGCTCTGACTGAGCCCAGCAGGACCCACCGGCCGGAAATGACAGGAACCACAAAACCCAGAATGCTCTGCGAGAGGGGCGTGGCCAGAGCTGCCCCTGAATAGAAACAAGATTCCATCACTCCCTGTATAACAATCACACTCTGTATAACAACACCTCAATATGGGATCACTCCCTGTATAACAATCACACTCTGTATAACAACACCTCAATATGGGATCACACTCTGTATAACAACACCTCAATATGGGATCACACCCTGTATAACACCTCAATATGGGATCACACCCTGTATAACACCTCAATATGGGATCACTCCCTGTATAACACCTCAATATGGGATCACACTGTATAACAACACCTCAATATGGGATCACACCCTGTATAACAACACCTCAATATGGGATCACACCCTGTATAACAACACCTCAATATGGGATCACTCCCTGTATAACAATCACACTCTGTATAACAACACCTCAATATGGGATCACACTCTGTATAACAACACCTCAATATGGGATCACACCCTGTATAACACCTCAATATGGGATCACACCCTGTATAACACCTCAATATGGGATCACTCCCTGTATAACACCTCAATATGGGATCACACTGTATAACAACACCTCAATATGGGATCACACCCTGTATAACAACACCTCAATATGGGATCACACCCTGTATAACAACACCTCAATATGGGATCACTCCCTGTATAACAATCACACTCTGTATAACAACACCTCAATATGGGATCACACTCTGTATAACAACACCTCAATATGGGATCACACCCTGTATAACACCTCAATATGGGATCACACCCTGTATAACACCTCAATATGGGATCACTCCCTGTATAACACCTCAATATGGGATCACACTGTATAACAACACCTCAATATGGGATCACACCCTGTATAACAACACCTCAATATGGGATCACACTCTGTATAACAACACCTCAATATGGGATCACACCCTGTATAACACCTCAATATGGGATCACTCCCTGTATAACACCTCAATATGGGATCACACTGTATAACAACACCTCAATATGGGATCACACCCTGTATAACACCTCAATATGGGATCACACTCTGTATAACAATCACACTCTGTATAACAACACCTCAATATGGGATCACTCTCTGTATAACAACACCTCAATATGGGATCACTCTCTGTATAACACCTCAATATGGGATCACTTCCTGTATAACACCTCAATATGGGATCACTCTCTGTATAACAACACCTCAATATGGGATCACTCTCTGTATAACAACACCTCAATATGGGATCACACTCTGTATAACAACACCTCACTATGGGATCACTCTCTGTATAACACCTCAATATGGGATCACTCCCTGTATAACAACACCTCAATATGGGATCACTCTCTGTATAACAACACCTCAATATGGGATCACACTCTGTATAACAACACCTCACTATGGGATCACTCTCTGTATAACACCTCAATATGGGATCACTCCCTGTATAACAACACCTCAATATGGGATCACTCCCTGTATAACAACACCTCAATATGGGATCACTCTCTGTATAACAACACCTCAATATGGGATCACTCCCTGTATAACAACACCTCAATATGGGATCACACTCTGTATAACACCTCAATATGGGATCACTC